GACGTAAATGGCGCTCGTGTGAGAAACCAGAATTGCTCGTGTTTCGTTTTTCTTGGATGAAAAAAAGATTTATGAAATGAAAAAGAGAGATAACGTTTCGAAATCGCATAAATGATTTTGGATTTCTGGCGAAAATTTCAAGGTTGTCTCGCGGTTTGATTATTCAGAGTGAATTTCATAATTTGACGAATAAAATTTGGTGACATTTCGTGGATCTCTTCTTAGAATATTTTTAATCGAGAATAAGATTCGAGATTTTTTTCATTCTAAATTCTGGAGATTTAAAAGTGTGTCTATATTATACATACTTTGAATCGAAATCACTTTAATTATAATCTAATATAAATCCAATATCTAAGTTTAAGAAACAATTCAACGCTTCAATGGAAAAGAAAAACGACGAAACGGTTCGTTCTTCGTAAAATATCAAGTATAGGCGTCGCCTTCAGGTACATCGCTCGACTAGAGGTGCGCGTGAATGTACTCCAACATGGTTTTATGATGTAATACGGTCCGCTATGGCATCGGGTCTGGATACGAATAAGGCTTTAGTGCCTTCGTAATACCAAGTAAAGCTTTCCAGTTTATTGGCGCGCTTTACGGAAGCAGAAGAACAGTGAAAATTGTCCATCTCTGTGTGCGTACGTACTCCGCCAGACGAGCGAAGATAAAAAAAAAAAAGAAAAGAAAAGAAAAGGGGAAAAAAAGGGAATCGAAGGGGGAGCATCGTCGACACGTGAGAAACGAGTGTTTCGCGTTCTCGCGCGATACGTCTTCCTCGCGGGTCTCCCGCGTTTTCTCGATTTTCTGCCGCAATTGGGAATCGTAAAATACGATCGCGGAAGCGCGGACTCTCGATCGGAGAAAGAGAGTTCGAGACGGTGCGGGTATTCCGGAAAATTGGCTCGCGGCGAACAAGGAGGAATCGTCGATACTCTCCGCTTGCTCTCTGTTTTACGAGCGTCGCGCGAGGAGAAGTAAATTTCTCTGGGAAAGCTTTTCGCCCCGATCGAATCATCCGCATAAAAATGGTCCCGAAATGGTATGGTATGGTGGACTCAAGGAGAGCACAGTTTATTCGCATGGATTTTCACATTTGGACGAATACACGTTTGGCAGGCTTCGAGGCTGTGCGTTCTTTTCATAAATTCTAGATAATGATAGGTAAGGAGATTAAATCTTCTGTATTTCTTCTGTATTCATCCGAATCGAATCTTATTCCTTGTTTCGTCGTAAAATTAAAAAAATCTCTTTATTATATTAGACTAGTCAGTTGATACTAATTTTCATTCTAACTCACCAACACGTATATATCTAACATATAAATATATCACCAGATCTCTCGACTATCGCTCAACGATAATTAGATTCAAAATATCGTTTTTCTTGGGATAAAATCGCCCCTCCTCGCTGCTTGCTGCTCGCCTGCCCAGAAGCAACATAAGATCCGCACGGTTCCACATGGCAACTTTATACCATACTTAACCACGGGGCTTAAAGGTTCAAAATTCGCCCGAGAAATAAGATCGCGGTGTTAATGGCGGCCCCTCGGCCGACCTCATTACAAATCCGATGGGCGATGTTCAGGCGTAGCATAATGCGAGCGGGCGGCACGGCCGATATTCCCACTTTATATATGCCCCGGTTACGTAGGTGTACGGCAGAGTACACGAAAGCGGGCTTAACGGAGAGTCAACCCTTTATCTCTCGACACGAGCGTGGCGTAAGATTGGTTCAACGAAGCGTGAAAAACGCTCGCGCGAGCGATCTCTTAACGGCCGATCAGCCTTATCGCTTAACGGCGGCTTTTCATTTCGCGAAACCCGCCTAACGGCCACCTTTTGCCTCCACCGGCCGAGATACGCGATCGAATAATCGGTGAAATAAATCGGAGAGACTGATCGGCAGGATCGATATTTATTATGCGGAGGAGAATCGAATCTGATTTTAACGATCGTCGAGATTTTTCGTCGCCTTTCGTTGGGATAATTAAATTGATTCTGCGATTTTTCTATCTTGAATCGAAGAACAAATATGTGGGAACAAAATTTTCGAACGAAGAATATTCGAAGAATGTATTATAGGTACCGAATTTATTCGAATTTCGCAATTTGAGAAGATTATATCGCGCGTTCTTATGGTTCGCATTGAAACATTTTTACGAGACTCTAATCCGCATCTTTGGTAAGGCATAAGTCGTTTTTAGAGTCGTTTAATAATCGTCGAAGGCGATTTTCATCTTCTTATCGGTATGATTAAACTGGAATTCGAAATCTTTCTATCGTTCTGGCGTTATCTCGTGAACTGGAGTTTAATGGTTAGCGAAGTGTGAGAAGAATTGAGAGAACAGGGGATGGAATGCAACTGATACGGATCGTTGATCGCGTTAAACGAGTTTCATTGGATGTGCAAGATGGAATTGATTCCGTAACAGCAGCAGAGTAATTAATTTCAAAGATGGAATTTTGCGACTTTATTTTGTTGCAACGCGTGATATGCATACGTATAATTTGAGAAAATGAGCGGTATATTAATGTAAAAGTAACGATAATGTATGAATTTGATCATTTTTGACGTACACGTGAATAAATTTTGTTATTACATAGTTACGTATCTTTAAAGATCTCGACATTGGTGAGGCGAATATCATTATGCCGATCGTATCTTTTCTATTTGCGTCAATTTTATGCAAGTATAAGATGAAGGTATGCAGACATTTTA